CCCCAAAACCCCAAAACCCCAAAACCCCTAAAATCCACATTTTGTGAGCTAATGAGATTAATAAATTTACCATAATCGACAGTATATAATCAAAAAATTAAACAATCGCTCTTTTTTTCTGCAACAATATGTTAGTTTATTGTTTTTAACAATTGATTCTAGATATTTTGAACACTAAGGTCATTTGCAGAACTAGCATTAAAGTTTTTAATTTCTGATATATTTTGATGTTACTATGTTTTATTTAATTTTTGCTATAGTTCATTCTGGAAATGATTTAGTTTATATTATTGGTTAGACTTATTTTTATCAGGATCAGGTAAATTATTTGTTGAAAATCCTATTTTCTTAAGCTCAATATTTGCTTCAGCATCTTATATCTAATGCCCGTGTTAATTTTGAGTACTTTTTGATCTGTCAAAGCCATTATTTATTGAGACTAAGCCAGCTTTCTAAGCCTAATTGAATTCACCGAACCCTTAAACACCTAGAAGATTATCAAGAGCATTGACTCTATCAGGAGTCTGATCATGCATTCCAGGGGCACCTTGGAAATTAAAATTACCGTTTCCAGGATGGTAACTCGACCCTTCCATCAAGCCGAATTATGATATAATTCTATTTTGATTATTCTATGTTCTTGATCTCACATTCATGTCAATTGATGTATGCATCCCAAACTCTTTTTCCTCTTCATCATCAACTATTATCACTTTGTTCTTTCGTTTGTTAGGGTGTGTCTGAAATTTAGATGGCTTAGCTCCAAATGATTTTGAATCCATCACACCTATTGATCCTTCTTCCATAGCTATCTCCTCCTATATCTCACTTGACTTGTTATCAAGATTATTAGGGATTGGCTTGAAGTTATTTTTTTATAGAGGAATTTACTAAGCATTCTAATTAAGAACAGCTTCGTTCTCACAATTTTTTTTGTACTCATTCACTATAATAAATCAATTTTAGGGAAATCTTACATTTACATCTTTTGTTCTGGTTAATATTTGGACCTTCTCTTTTAAATGTTTCAACCCCGAGTACATTCTATGCTTGCTTACGCTTGAAACCTCTTTCTCGAAGCTCCTTATACTCTTGCTTGAGCTACTCAATTTCTCTTTTTCAAATTTCTTAATTGTATGCCTAATACAAATATTTATCATCCTAATTTATATTAAATTTTAAAACTGTCTTACATTCTAATTGATATTTCCTCCCTTTTAATGATCAATGTCCATTATTATATTCCGAAGCTGATCTCCTCTTATTATACGCTAGGCATCTAGAAAACTTGCAAATTAGAATTCCTTTTTTTCGCTTTCCTACCTTATTTGCTACTACTCTTCTCCATGTTTTTTATCCTGTGGATTAGTCTGTCCTTCAATTTAAGATAAAATTTGATTATTTCTTGGAACTTTTTAATCTTTTATAACCCAATCGTAAATTTTATCGTTGAGATCCAAACCCTCCTTTTCTGCAAGATCATTTAATGTGTTTTGAAGAAGTTCATAATTAGGCTTTTCTTCAAATTAAAGATTTCTACAATGCTTAAGGTATGTCAAAAACTCATTCGGACTATTTTAACATAGCTCCTCTAATGTGATAGCAACTTTAGTCTCTTTGATCCGTCTGTACTTCTCTGATTTACTAAAAGCCGGGAGGTTTTACCAAGGCAGTTATCCCTTGTAGAAGTATAGCATTACAAAACCAACTGCCTCTAAATCGTCTCTTCTTGAAAGTTCTTCACCAAGATGAGCATGAATAGAGGCATACCTTGCTGTCCCTGTTAAGCTTTTATCGTTTCTATATGGAATATGAGTTTTTGCTTTAGGATCGTAAAATCTCTTAGCGAGTCCGTAATCTACCACATAAGCGACATGTGATTTATCTTTGAGTCCCATAAGAAAATTGTCAGGCTTTATGTCTCTATGCACAAAAGTTTTCTTGTGAATGTACTTGAACCTCTCAACAAGTTATGTTACCAGCATCAATGTAGTCTTAAGAGTAAATTAGCGACCGCAGTAATTAAACAAATCTTCAAGTGAAGGGCCGAGAATATCTATTACCATAAAATTTAGGTCTCCATCCTGACCATAGTGCTGAACCTAGGGGATTCCGTCTATAATTTTAAAAATATTAATAAAAACTACCTGTTTTTTAAAGCATTCTCAACACCTTAGCTTCATAAATAACTTAGGGGTATCTGGCATTTTTTGATTCCTATTAAATTTATTAAATAATGAAGGTTTATTTTAAAAATTACTGTCTTTATAGCTACTTCTTCATTGGTTCTAATATGCTTTGCTATATAATTTGAAATATTATTAGTTACCTATATATATTTCTCCAAATGATCCAGCCCCTATTTTTCTTCTAATTTTATACTATCCACCAAGTATGTCATCAGCGTGAAGCTTCATTTTATATTATAAATTACTTGAATATTTACAAATATTTTAATGAATGCATGCATAGTGGGGTTTTGGGGTTTTGGGGTTTTGGGG